AAGTCCAACACTGACTCTGCTGTTTCGTGAGTGTGTTTCAGGATACAGTATTAACCTCCAGGTACAGGAGCTACAACTGTGCATCACCAACATTTACCTCGTCGATGTATGGCCGACAGTGACTGACCTCGTCTGCTTAAAAAGAACAGAATATGAAACAAATGACAAAAGAAAAGCTGTCTGTGAATTCGGACAGTATCGTTACAAAGATTATCAGATTACGTAGTTGTTGCATCAAGTGTTAAAACAGCCTTGTCTCTCCTTATCAACTTAACCGGCCGCTCGTCATCTATTTTGGATGCTGTAATGCCGTCCGCAAATACAATTTTTGGGGCTGCTTGCGGCGGGGACTATGAGGGCTGATATCTCTGCTTTAGACTAAGGGAGTGAGTGAGGTCCACCCTTACGTTATTAGTTAAGGGTAGATCTACTTACGGATTTTTGAGAGTGTAAAGGAATAATTATCAGCGAACACACGATTCACATAATTACCAAATGATCTATCGGAATATTCAGTTATATTCAGTTATCGGAACCCACTTGAAAGTTTCTTGTATACGTCGCAGATATAGTGAAAACTTATTTATTTAAATAAGGCACAACAACGTTATAATTTATTTCACATTCACTTTGGCTGCCACTGCCGTACAGTCCTTTAAGCGAGCTGCAACATCATAAAGCACTATACAGTATGTTCTTGGTTTAGAACTCTGACACGGGCTGACTACAACACACAATCTTCTCTCTGGAGCGAATGTTGTACCGATTCCCTAAAGTCAATCTATAAAACCTGGTAGTTCAGACAACGCTTCCTTAGATCCTAAAATATGTTTATTACATGTTAGTGAGGGTAACAGCCTCAAGCAGTGTTGGTACCTGTATAAACTTACTGTCCACCGCGAGACAACTGAAAAGGAGTGTCTTGTGTTTCCTAATTTCAGGAAATACCGTATACTTTTTTCCGTTCTCCACTCAAGGTTGTTTTTACCGCTGGATAGACTGGTAGGATAATTAATACGGGTAATCTCTTGAATTTGTGTAAATACATGTCCAGTGCCAGTAAATGCCGTAGTCTTCAGTGGCATCTTGGCCAGTGTTCGCCCTCTACCACGAGAGATTTATAAAGTTATAGAAAAATGCTGCATCAACCTCATAAATAGCATATACAGTACGTCCCAGTCTGGATTACTGTAAAAGAGCATGGGAACCCTACCTCCAGAAAGACCTAACATCCCTAGAAAATGTGTAACACTATGATGATTCCGGAGCTGAATCGTGTCGAATTATCCAAGTACTGTCGATAAACAGGTGGAATATTGAAAAAAAAAAGCCGATGGAGGTTTTAGGATAATTCGAGCAAGCTGAGTTCCAATCTGCTTGTTACCAGAAAATGTTCCATGCTAAAATGCCTAAAATCGTGAATTAAAACTGTCAAAATTAATAAAATATAACAACTCTGCAGGAAATTAAATATGCAGCTGAAAAGTTCTCGAACTGTCAGAGGTCTGGAACAGATACACTGCCCTTACAGAAGAATCAGGAACTGATTCCAACCTCATACAGAAGTGGCAGGGCTTCAGTCGAGAAAAAAATCCAGTTCTTTCTTAGAGACACAGTTGGATTCCTTACATCTCTTCACCAGGTCTTGGCGATAGCCGAACCCTGATTATACCCCTCAGGTCCATGCATATTCCCCTAGCCGAGCTTGTGGAGTCGGGGACCCTGTATGTACTGTATATGGCCGCGTTGTTCATTACCTTTAGGCAGTATTGTAATTAAGTCTAGGTAATGATACCCTCTTCCTCACATCACACCGATCTGTAGCAGAGACAAGAAATTGTAAATATTCCCACAAACTGTTTTCCTGTCTCGTGTTGACTTATCACTTGTAGACAGACTTAATGGTTTAAACAAGTATTTATTCCTGTATTAATTTATTAAAAATGTTCAACATTAATAACCCAAATGACTGGCTAGACATAGCTCGTAGGAGAGTAATTTTCTTCCCTGGCTCGTTCTAGGCAAATCTCGAGACGCTTGAAGGAGCTTACTGTGATATCCAAAAATACGTGTTTGGTTACCTAGGAGACAACTAAGTAGTTTCTTGGCCAGTACTTGTGACCAGATCTGGAAAGAATATTGCATTAGCCGACAAGTGACGACGTGGATAAATCTAAATAAGTAAACATTTCCATGTGGTGAGAAAGATGTGTAAGGCGCAAATGTGTCCAGCATCCTTGGGCGACGACACGATGTTGGGTGGAGAGGATGGGTGATAATTCAGGGTACGAGTGGCTGGTCAAATGATCCCAATTACCTATCCTGACCACCAGAACCGTCTCTCATTTCACTCGCCTTCCTCGCAGCAAAAAAAAAAGAAATGAAACTTTACCATTGGGTGTAATGAAACTCGCCTTCTACAGCATCGTCGTGTTGGCCGAGTCTATAAGAAGCTTGTTGCATAAGGTCATCAAGGTCGTTCTGGTACAGCAAATGCGTCATAAGAGATGGATTTCTCTTAGAATTTAATTGTTCATGACGAGTATAATTATTAATCTAGTAAACACACATAAAGACCTTAATTGTTTAAGCGGAGTAATATAATACAGCACCTAGGTAAATCAGGCACATAAACTAATAGGCCTACTGTATAGTCTGTTCACTCGAAGCTTACAATTGAGGCCTAGGGTCAGTTTGTGGCAAGGCAGACGGACGTGGGAAGTCACTACAATTCTTTACTATTTAATCGATCGTATTTATATTCTGATATAAATTAAGATACTGCTAATGCTCGGATCTGCTCTGTGGACATTGAGCAGCGCTTCTAGAGGCTGACAGAATCTGCAGTCCACTGTAAAAATTCTTACATAGGTAATACATCAATATATTCAAGAAAATATCCCCAAACTTGCCAAAATAACTGCTGCTTGGAATAGAAAATAATCAAAGCACCTAATTCACAAATAAATTTAATACTAAATTATTCCTCGGCATAACAACATATAAGATGAGGATTCATGATGTTTTGAATAATGACGTAGAAAAATGAAATGGTTAAGACTTGTCATTGTATATGACTCATACATAATCTAATTACAAAGATCGAATCACACTGATAAACCAAAAACAGTAAACTTCATGAGTTTGCAGTGTAATGAATGTTAGTTAACGTAAAATCAAACGATTCATATTACGCTCAATATCCTACAAAACATGTGACTAACTTTTTGATTGAGTCCCCCAGCTGAGGCACTCGTTTTCTTATCGCTTCAGGACGTCTTTTAGTCCTCCCTATTCTTTCAATCCTGGAGTGCACCTGAGACTCCGTTATTGCTTAATATCTCGGGGCACGACACGAAGTTTGAAATTGCAGCTGTAGTTGTATATGTTAAGTCAAATTAGAAAACATAAATAAAAACACTTGTACATTTTACACCCTTACAGCAGTACTGTAAAATAACATAGATATCCCTTGCTATACGAATGGGTTAGGGTTATTCAAATAGCGAAAAACAAATGGGAAATGGGTTGAAGAAATTACAAGTTCAAAAATTTTTTAAGGCAATTATTATCAGAGTGAGGGTTGTAAACTCTTTGGACAGTCTGCCAGAGTGTTGTGACGGCACCGAGTGTGATCTGTTTCAAGACAGACCATGGACCAGACTTGACCAACACTACACTTTTTCTTTAATACATTATTGTACTCAGGCGTTTTTTAAGAGTAAAAAGTAATTACTCTTGTCCTCAGAATATCTCCCAATACAGTAGCAAGTGCACATGGCTTCAAAATGTCCATAATATTGGTCAGAATTAAAAAAAATCGGGGAAGGGCGGCTTACAGCGCCACCCCAAAAAACCCCAGCTGGGTGGGCTCACTTTGCTCATGTTACCCCACCCACACTTGGATCCCCCCTTTTGATATTCCCTGGATCCGCCCCTGCATTGGTGCAGGTACAGATACATTCTTGAGCCAGTACATACCCAGTAAACGCCAACAGTGCGTAACAAGAGACGTGACCGACCGTCCAAGCGCCTGACAAACTTATCAGTGGCGAAGAAGATAAAAGAAATAAAGAAAAGCACTAACGTTTGTGTCCTGAGTTGGAATCTTGGCCTGTGTACTCGAATTTTCTCCTGAACTAACATTAGACAATAAAATTTATTACAAAGTAACAAGGGGTGACCTAGTTGAGGTGTATAAGCATCTCAAGGGGCACTACTCAGTCGAGTGTCCTTACTTGGAGCTGGCGGACGCTCGCCCCCACAAGGGGTCACAGCTCAAGATTGAAGAAGCCGCAGGTCCAGAAAACTGTGAGGGCAAACTTTTTTGGAGTGAGAGTTGTAAACTCTTGGAACAATCTACCAGAGAGTGTTGTGACGGCACCGAGTGTGAGCTCTTTCAAGACAAGACTTGACCAACACTGGAGCTGGTTCAGGTACATTCAGGAGCCGGTGCATGCCCAGTATTTGCCAACAGTGCGTGACAGAGACGCGACCAATCTCCCGGGCGGTTAGCGAGCCGATCTTTTGGTGAAGAAGATAAATGAAAAGGAAAACTGCTCAGAGACGTGACCTATCACCAAGCGGCTAACGAGCCGATCAGTGGTGAAGAAGATAAAAGTAAAAAAAAGAGAACAGACCAACCTCTTAAACTGCAAGCAAGCTGATAAGTGGCGAAATGATAAATAAATAAATAAATAAAAATATAAAAAAGTGCGCCGAGCCGATCAGTGGTGAAGAGGATAAAGGTTAAAAAAGAAAAAGTATAGGGGGGTCGTCTGTGTGTCAGTCTGCTTGTGAGAAATCTGCCCAGATACACAGTGGCCCATGTTATCCTGCCCCACACACACACACACACACACACATATATATCTTTATCCCCTTGTGTGTCTTTAAGTGATGATAAATATTAAAATTCCAATAAATAAACTATTTAATGATAAAATATGTTTAATCGTGGATGTCAGTATATAAACGAAGCATTTTCAAGGTGACCTTTGTTTGTATACTTTGGTCATGTTTCCCCCACGGCAACTATCAGCTGTTTGGTGGCCGCGTCGTCGTAGGGAAGCAAATCACTGAACAATAATTTATCCTGATTTTGTATTGTTTTGAGTGTGTGATAATATTAGCGATCTCAGCTAAGGTATTGCAATGGTAGGCCTCCCTGTTTCAGTAGATTATAGAGGTGTAAGTCATAAGCATATCGTGTGGATGGTGTTTGACAAAAGATGTAGCCACGAGCAGGTGAAGGGTAAGTCATTGTAATCTGGTAACTGAAGTACACGTTAAGGAGACCGACTATACTTAGTTCATTATAGTTTGGTAAAGGCGTAGGAGACGGTTATCACCAGATATAACTTGTGGAATTGCACCAAAGTGTTGTTTGCATAATACAATATAGTATACTGAATGAGAAATGGATACGACAATGCATAGAACCTACCAGAACCTAAATAACCTGGTATTATTTTACATTCAGACAACAGGGAAATTGGTGAATATTTTGAAGTTGCCAACACCTACTTATACATTGAGTCATATAGGGGAAAAGGAAAAAAACGATATCGTTTCGGTCATCCGGCGAATTTTAGGATTTAAAATTTTGGATTCGGCAATTTAAAAAAAATTTAAGACTCGTTTCTTCTGTAGCATTGGCTGTTATTTCAATTACTTACAGTAAAGACGGAGAAGCGTGGAAATTTCTACACGAACACAGTGTTCTGCCTACGGAAGTTACTTGCGTAAGGCGTAACAAGCCTTGCAGTTATTGAGCTGAAAAACGCCTTTGGTATTGTCCGAGAACAAATGTTATTCTCAAGTCTTAGAAGAGAAGATTAATTAAGGTAAGCTCACAGGTGGATAGGTTAGGTTAGGTTGGGTTAGGTTAGGTTTTGGATAATTCTGACCTTCATTTCTATCGCAAGTTACTACTTTTGTGATTTTCCCCCACCCAAAACTCCTGGTTCTCACTGGGGGTCCCCCATTATCATTGGATAAGGGGGGAGGGGGGGGGGGGTTAGCTCAAAAAGTAGTAATTTCCGGTAGAAATGAAGGTCAGATTCATTCAAAGCACATCAAATTCCTTCAGAAAACATAATTTCAACTTATAAATACTGTAGGTGGATGACCAAAGTGTAGGGGATGGGATACACAACCACTCATATATTGTGCATTTCATATTTTCACTTCAAGGTTCTATACTGTAATGTCCTGCAATTTGTTTAATATTTTCTTCATATTATGTATGACTGTATACAACTGCTGTGGGGGTACAGTTCACCACACTAAGGGGGGAGACCTGGGCCCGGATGCTTTAACGTCTTGCTTAAGTAGTCTGCCACGATAACTCACTTAGCTCAAAATCTTGCTAAAGTAACAATACTTTTACTTAATTAAGTAACAAAGTTCAGTACTTTTTACAACTCTGGCAGTGGTGTTGGTAAGTGTTGGTGGTGGTAAGTGTTGTTGGTGGTGGTGAAAAGTAACCCATCTATGTTTAGTATGGGTGATGTCGTCTCGCTAAAGGAACCAAGCTGATAGTTGTGTTATTGCTATTTTTCAACGCGTATTTTTGGGTAGATTTTTTTTTTTTTTTTTTACATGCGCACACAATGTTCTTACAAAATGTGCAAAAAAACATTAAAGAAATGATTATCATAAGGTCGAAACATAAAGGGGATAATCATTACTTACATGCACGGTAGTTAGCATGCTGATTGTGGGAGGAGGTCTCAGCCACTCCAGTCTCCCATGTGTAGTGAAACTATTGACAACTGGTAATGCAGTACAGGTATATTTCTTTTATTTTATTTATTAGTATAATTTTGATATATTGAACATTATGTGGTGAAAGTTGCCCGGCTGGGAATGCACTCCCCCTCCCCATTTACATTACTTCTTATGGGGAAAAGTGACCTGATATTTACATGTTGCCAGTAGATGGGGAGTGTGTGTGTGTGTCTCCGTATGTCTGTGTGTGAGTATGCTGGAAATACTTTTTATGTCATCATTAGCTGTTTAATTTAAATTTCTAATTTTCAGTTTCATATTTTGTGTGTGTTATTTTGGGTAAACAATATTGTAATCAATTATAATTCTCTTTATTTAACAGAGAAAGACCGACGTAAAAGTTAGCAAAACCCTATCATGGCTGCTTCGCCATGGGGCCGAGAAGGAAGGCTTGACTCTTGGGCCTGGAGGCTGGGCCAAAGTTGACGAAGTTCTCAAGACATCATCCTTTAAGAAGGTTAGAGGTTCCTCTGGAATTCTTAAAAGGGGGGCTGTCTGGAATTCTGGATACAGGATGTACACAGTGTTTACTTGGACACCTGCTACTGTATGACTTTAAATCATGATCAGTTCAGTCACAGCTATGATTGTGCAGAAGCTTAATTACTGTATCACAGTATAGCTAAAACTATCATTTCAGGTAAGAGCAGAGGGGCCCAAGTACCTCACAAGAGCAAAAAACATTTGAGTATTCAATTTGTATTACAGTACTTTGGAAAACAAGAATACGGTATTACAGTAATCCTTTGCCAACTGTGGGAGTTACGTTGCACAATTCTGCTATTATAACACAAAGTTCGTACAGGTAAACCTCGATAAATGATTGGGTTAGTTTCCTGAAAAACCCATTGCTAAGTGAAGTATCATAAATAAGGAGCATTATAACGGGAGGGGAGTGTAGGGGTTAGGGGAGTATTGCTAGGTAATCGGCGTCCCAGCTGATTTCCCTTACTATGGTGAAACAGGGAGTGTATGCAAATGGCAACTGTGTTAAGCTTTCATTTGGCTTTTATTTACTGATTTTGCTATACAGTATTTTATTTATTCCTCATATTTCCTGGTACTGTATTAGGAGTATATATTATTTTAAGAAACCTGTGGATGCAGGCGGAAAATACACACTAAGGAGTGTTGCCTTAGTGATCGCTGGTCCGGTTTGCTCACTTAAGACAACTGAGGAAGTTTCTAAGAGCCCAGATTCTATCACACTTAAATTGCTTTGTGCTAACAGAGAGTGAAGTGCACCAATAGAGACTAAGTGCACCAATAGAGACTCAGTGCACCAGTAGAAACTAAGTGCACCAGCAGAGACTTAAGTGACTTGAATATGTTATTGCATCCAGGCCGAGGTTTAGGCCCAGGTCAACAATTTCACTTAAAATAATTGAGGTCGACTTATAAGCTACAGTGTACAGTAAATTATAATTTATATTTTAATTTAGTTTGGCAAATGTAAGTTTAGGTAGAAAATATTAGTGGTAGAAGTTAGGTTTGTGTTAGCTGCCACCCATGGGACCGACATAGGCTGTAGGATTTTAGGTTCACATTTTATACTGGGCATATAAGATGACCCATAGTTTTGTGGGTCTTTTTTAAGCTTCCAAAGTTGCCAGTAGTAATATCTCTGTTAACCAGAATCCCTCTTAACTGGAATTGATATTTTTCGGAAAATCATTCCCAAAGCCGGAAAATTCCGGGGATGGGGGATTTTTTTCCAGCTTTGAGAGAGTCGTCTCGTTACCTGGAAATCTCTCATTCCCGGAAGTGCTCTGTACCAGTTGTTCCGATTAATGGAGATTACTGTATTATATGTATTGCATATCTTCCTATATTTTCCTTTATAATAATTTAAATAACTACTAAAATAGGTGGCTAGTTAATGCAGCCATTGTAATGTTATTGTTCCTTCTTCCAGATAGACTTAGAGAAGATAAAGGAGGTGGTGGCCAACTGCCCCAAGAAGCGCTTTGCTCTCAAAGATGATGATGGGACACTGTACATCAGGGCCAATCAAGGCCACTCACTTCAGGTATTTGGTCTGGCCTTTTACATGTATTAAAGCCTCAGAAGATGGTACCTTTTTTTCAGGTGGATGTTTCCTCTTGTGAAGTTGAGTTTAGATAAGATATTGATAACTGGGTGAGAAGGCTTATGGGTGTCTTGGGCTCTGTACTTATTGTTCAGAAAGATTTCCAAGTACTTAGTGAGTTAGGTGAAGGAGGCCAGTGGCATGTGTACGATCCTTCCATTGTTCTTGATAATTTTGTCGAGCTATTTTGAACCCCAATACTGTTCTTGATTCAACAGTCTGGGCTAGTAGACCATTCCATAGGTCTACCACTCTGTGTGAAGACGTGTTTCCATATATTCGTTTTGTATGATAACTTGGTGAAATTATAGTTATATTCACTCATGTTTGTGGTGCATGACATCACAAACAAATGGCCCGGGTTCATGTTTTCTGTCCCTTTCAGTTTTTTGAATGTTTCAATGAGATCTGCCCTATTGTGCCTTGTCTGAAGGGTTGTTAGGTCTAAGGTCGTCAGTCTACTTGGATAATCGAGATGATATAGTTCTGGAATCATATTAGTCGCTCATTGTTGCACCTTTTATAGGGATGTTAGATATTTCTGGGGGTAGGGTTTCCATGCCTGTATACAGTAATCCAGACTAGGACACGCTAGAGTTTTGTACAGTTGAAGGAGCATTTTCCTATCTTTGTATTCAAAGGTACGCTTTATAATTCCCAAATCTCGTTTTGTTTTCCTCACTGCTTCTTGCGCCGCCTTCAGTGAATGATCTATCACATTGCCAAAATCTTTCTCCTTGTTGACAATATCTAGGAAAGTGTTATTAACAGAGTAATTGTGCTACAGGTTGTTGGATTTTATGTGTAAAGTCGTGTATTTCTTAATGTTAAAGATCATTTGCCACTCTCGGGACCATTTAAATAGCTCATTCGGGTCTTCCTGCAGTATTGCTACAATGTCCAAACTTGGTACCTTCCCAAATATCTTTGTATCGTCCGCAAACTTGACAATGTGGATCGATATATTTTCATTTGTATCATTTATGTAGATCACCAACAGGGTGGGTCCAAGGATAGAGCCCTGTGGTACTCCACTGAGAACCTTTTTCCATTCAGAATGTACTCCATTTATTACCACTGTTTGTTCCTTGTCTTGGAGCAAGTTATTAATCTACGTTAAAATTTTGCCTGTGATGTCATGCATATGGCTAGTTTTGGATATATACATAGTGTGTTTAGGTGTAGCCAGAAATGAGTTGGAAACACCAAATATTTTTTCAGATTTTTTGACAATCCCAAAAGTCCAGCATCTGTTTGATGGCCAAATAATTTCGGGCAATTGGCACGAAGAGATTAATAACAGTTATATTGAGGATATTTTATACCGAATAAAATGCAGGTGTTATATTGCCAGGTGGAAGATTTAGACCTTGAGGAGATTACTGCTGATAGTGATGTGCCGGCTGTGATCCATGGAACATACCACCGCCACTGGAGCAGCATCAAACAGCAGGGTCTCAGTCGCATGAACCGCACCCACATACATTTTACACCAGGCGCTCCTGGAGAGTCTGGTGTCATCAGTGGTATGAGGAGTTCTTGTGAGATCTTGATTTATGTGGATCTTGCCAAGGCTCTGTCAGGTGAGACTCATCATTGTACCTTTAATTCTTATAGTACTGACCCACTTAGTTATTGCTTCCTTCAGAGTAGATGCTCTTATTTTTTCTTCACAAATTATTGATTTCTAGATTTCAGTAATATAACTTACTGAGACTCAGATTTAAATGCGGCAGATGAGTCACTTTGACAACATAATAGAAAAATTTACCACTGGACAAAAAGGTAGTTATTGTGGTGGGTGCTGGGTTGTGTATTTGTATGAACTTTGTGTGGTAGAGTTTGGGGTAAAAGTACATATCTTAGTGATGCAGTATTGGATGACCATGATACCGGTAATTTATTTCAGTATTAGGTGTTGTCATTAACTAAAGGGCAGTTTTCTTTTTACAGCTGGTATAAAGTTCCACAAGTCTGTTAACAATGTGATATTGTGCTCAGGAAACGATTCTGGATATCTTCCTCCACAATATTTCCTCAAGGTTGTTGACAGAAAGACTGGTGAGTGTCATCATGCTCTTTGTCACTACTAACACAATCTAATCCATCCTAACCTAACCTAATCTAACTTAATATAATCTAATCTTACTTAACCCCCACAGGTGAAATAAACTATGATAGTTTATAGTGAATCATTAAAAAACTTTATTCGTGTTTATCCCTGGTAGGAATCATCTAAGCCATGAACTTTACCATGGTTTTGGTGTGTATTTGAATCACCTGAAGAGTGGCCACCTTTGCTTATTTCACCTGATGATTAAATACCTCATGCTTCCTGGAGGGGGATCAGATTAGCATTGGTGTGTTTATCATCTGGTGAAATAAGCTAGAGGTGCTAACAAAATAAAATTATAAAAGCCAAGAAGAGTGAGGCTCTGAGGATGCTGATGGCAGGTCAGGAATGTGTTTATATTTAAGGCTTGTTTCATGAGGATTGGAATGCAAATTTACCTTTGTTTCTTCTCTTTCAGGGGAGCCAGTAGTGTAGGTGACACACACTCCCAGAATTGAGTGCAGTTTGAAGGGCTTCAGATTTTTTTATGTTTATTCTTAAGACAATCACATTTTGTTTTATTTTTTGCAAAGCTTTTCCTTTGATGAGTGGGCAAGCAAACTCTGATCCCATGATTCATAGCATTCTTCAGTGAGGTCGTGTGCCCACCCTTATGGCATTGTCAGTAATTTTGTTCATTTAAATAATATAAGGCATTTACATTCAAGGGACTCTGATTGGATTCTATACTAAATTAAATTATTTTTATTCTTAGCTGTTTTCTGACAAATGAGTGAGTACCTTGTACAGTGTTGTAAATTACCATGTTCTCTCTGAACATTTTGTTCATTCATAAATTATAATGTATTATGTTAGTAACTCCGATGGAAGCTTTGATTCCAGTGTGAGAAAATTTGTCATTAGAATATTGTATTGTATTGATAGAAATGAAGACAATGCAGTTGTGTTCCAGTAACAAAACACGGCTGTAGATTAGTTTCCTTATACAGTGCTGTACAGAAGTTCTTATCCCGACACCTTCAGAAATCTATCATGATATTTAAAAGAAAATTTAAAAGTCTTTTGTACAGATGTGGTCTTGACACAAAGTGGTTAACTAGAGACTTTGTTAGTCATCCATTATTATGCATCATTGTTGAGGATCTGCGGTAACAAATAATTTAGCCAACCTGTACAGCACTTGTTCAGATGCACCCCTTGCTTACATTACATGTACCTTAGGTAAGCAACACCAAAAGAATCTCATTAATAGAGAACAACAACCAAATGATGAGGCAAACCATATCATCCAGGCAATAGGTGTAATCTGGCATTGCTTACAATGTTTGTTGTAATGACTATAGAGAGAAAATGTATTTAGTAGAGAATTCAACTTATCTCCAGTACACAATGAATTGATATGAAGCATTGTATTGAGTGTAAGGATTAAAGGTTCACTTCGTATAATTTGAATGCAAATTCAGGGCAAGAGACAGCGTGTGGAGTGTTTATGCTTTTTATCAGTTCAACATTACTAGCATCTTTGACCACTACTGTTGCCACTCCTGGAGTGCCTGTTTCCCTTGATTCAGTCTGCATAAAAGTTGGCCCATAGAAAAAATTAATACAGTAGATGGACAAAGATGAATTCCTAAATTACAGTACAGGTATTTGTCAGCTTTTGTGTGTAGTTATCAAACTGATTATTTCATGTAATTTTTATGGATTTTTAAGAAATTCATAAGATATCAAAGTGAGAGATAATAGTGATTAAACTTTTATTACTCAATTCAGTACTTATATTCCCCAGTTTTATTCCAAATCTGTTAATGGTATCAGCAGAACAGTTCTCTACCAGTAGTGGACTGGGCTGAATTAAGATTCCTTTTTTTTTTTTAAGAATAAATGGGTCATGGCTGTCCTGATGAGTTTAGGAAGTACTAAGAGGTAATTTTTTATTATATTGTACAACTACATTTTGTCACATTCATTCATATCCACTGATGGGAAGGTGGCAACTTTGTAGTTGTAATTACCATGAGAAGCGTGAAAGTTTACAAAACTACAGTTTTAAATAATTTTATGGTTGTATAACCCCACATTGCCTACCATATTTATCAACCATTATTTTTTTCAGTCATTTAGTGGAAGTCTTCACATAATGACAATCCATGTTAGGCACTTGCAAGGACCTGCTTGGTGGACTCTCGATGGGGGGTTGGTTCCGAGGCAGAGGGCAGATTATTGGCCCTCACCTGTATCACTGGTATCAATTGTATCACTATCCACCACAGAGGCTTGCAGGGCCTCTTTGTTAAACCCCTCAAAGTCCATATCCTCACTATAATTATCACTATCACTGACTTGGGCCGGTTGTGGTGGGTGGCGGGTAAAGAACTCGGTAATGTTTTGATGACTGGGCGACCTTGTGCGCACCATTTTCGCGCCTCTTACACAACATGGCGGATGGCGGGAGGTTTGGATCCAAAAATGGCGCGGCTTGCCAGCCGCTCTCCGCGTAATGGGGTTCATGACCGCGGAATGTGAGCATGTTAGGTTCTGGCAAGGCACCGCGTTAACGGTGAAACGCGGAATGCGGGACCGCGTAATGTGAGGATTAACTGTACTTTTTTCTTTAATGCAGTATTGTACTCAGGTATTTTGTAAAGTAAAAAGTAATTAATATTGACCTCAGCATATCTCCTAATATCAAGTGTACATGACTTCAAAATGGCTCCAAAATGCTCAGAATATTGGTCAGATTTAAAAAAAAAATTAGGGGAGGGGGGCTTACAGCACCTCCCCAAAACCCCCCTGCTGGGTGGGCTCGTTATGCTCGCCATGTTCCCTCACCCACAACTTCTTAGACCCCTCCCCATTTTGATATTCCTGGATCTATCCCTGTTATTTCCTTTGAGTGATACATGATGGCAACTTTTACACTAAGACAACTGATTAATGAATAAACCGAGGTATATGTAAATGCATAATACTGTACACTACAATATCATTTATTATGTGATGATAAATACACTACAATAGTATTTATTAAGCGATGATAAATACACTACTGTACTGTACTAATTTACGGTCAAATGCATTTTACCGCTAAGCAAAAGTCGAAATTAAAAACGGAGGACAAGGTGAAGGCGTTCAACAGTTTCTTTTCCTCGGTGTTCACAAGAGAGGATGCATATAATCTTGGTGTGTTTGATGACAGGCGGTTCAACACAGCACTGACCCACATTGTGTTCACAGAAGAGGTTATAAGAAATAAATTGTCAAAGCAAAAGGTTCATAAGAGTCCCGGCCCTGACATAGTGCACCCCAGAGTGCTAAGAGAGTTGTGCAATGAGCTTGCTGAGCCCCCGAAGATCCTCTTCTGTAAATGCCTGGATGAGCAATAGGTCCCCAGTGATTGGAAAATGGCTTGTGTAAGTCTTATTTTCAAGAAGGGCGATTGTCAATCCACGAATAATTATAGACCAGTGAGCCTGACCAGCATAGTATGTGAAGTATTTGAGAGCATTATAAGAGATGCCATGATGGAACATCTACTACAAAACAACCTTGTAAAGGATTGCCAACACGGTTTTATGCCGGAGCGCTCCTGCTTAACACAATTACTCAAGGTACTGGATGCTTGAACCCAAATTCTGGAACAGAGTGGTAATATCGACAATATATACCTAGATTTTGCCAAGGCTTTCAACAGCGTACCCCATGAAAGGCTGAGAATTAAACTGGAAGGGTACGGTATTCGGGTAAGTGTCCTGGCGTGGATGGGAGACTTTCTCCATGATCGCAAGCAGAGTCTGGTGATTGATGTCATGAAATCGTCATGTGTACCTGTGATAAGCACCTGCTGTTGTTTGCTTGCTTCATAAACGACATGCCTGAGGCTGTACATTCCTCCACACAAATGTCTGCAGATGATGCCAAATTATTTAGGGAAATTAAGAACCAAACAGACCATGAAGAGCTGCAGAAGGATCTCTGTGAGCTACAAGAATGGTCAAAGAAATGGCTGCCAAGATTCAGTGTCACGAAGCATAAGAGGATGCACCTGGGACATACCAATGGTAAGGAGGTGCATCATATGTCCCAATGGGACAAAGAAACTGCATTGAGACTGAATGTGAAAAGGACTTGGGTGTGTATGTCGACAATCAACTTTAGTTCTCGGGCCATTGTGAGAAGAAGGTGAGTCAGGCAACGAAACTAGTAGGTCTTATAAGGTCATTTAGATATCTTGATGATCTGTCGCTCGTCACAATCTTCAAGAGTGAGGTGCTTCCCCGTCTGGAGTATTGTCACTCCGTCTGGTTCCCAAGTTATGCTAGAGACTGTCAATTGATTAAAAATGTCCAAAGGAGGGGCCCCCCCAGACTGGTGCCTGCTCTATGGAACCTCAGTTACCCAGAGAGACTGGAGCGCCTGCAATATCTAGCTTATACTACAGATGGGCGAGGGGCGACCTAATTGAAGTGTATAAACATCTTAGGGGGCACTACTCAGTCGAATGTACATACCTGGAGTTGGCGGACGTCTGTCCCACGAGGTGAGAATTGTGATTTCTTGGAACAATCTGCCAGAGAGCGTTGTGATGGCACTAAGTGTGAGCTTATTCAAGACCAGACTTGACCAACACTGGAGGAGGTTCCATTGTATTCAGGCGCCAGTACTTGCCAACAGTGCTTATCCTCTTCGCCACTGATCGGCATCAGTGGCGAAGAGGATAAAAGTAAGTAAAAAAGTGACCTTATTTCCTTTCACTAAAAATCTGAAGCCACCACCATAAAATCCTGGATCTGATATAAAACTTATTTTGGGAACAAATGTTTTTAGACTAACAGAAGAAGTGAGTAGCTCACATCCAGATATTAGAGTTATGTCTACCTCAATTTATAATTGTTTAGGGACTAATGTAATTCCAGTAATGATCTTCCTACATGCTTAAAGACCGTAAGTATGTACATGTAGTTGAAGCACATTAATAACAGCTTGTGAAATGTCAATACGGGATGTGCCCATTTCGTCACCACACTTTTTACCCGTTTCGTCACCATTGTTTTTACCCGTTTCATCACCGCATTCATTCCCATCACCATTTCAAGGGATAGAAAATAATCAAAACACCTGTTTACACAATTTTATTCCGAAATTATGCCTCGGCATAACAATACATTGGATCATGGAAGCATCTCACTAAGACAATTTAAAAAGACGAAAATAAAAAATATAAACGTTATTACTCTTGCAATCATCTCTCTTAAACAATATGTGAAAGACTAAAAAAAAATATTACTCATGCAAGTTTGGCAGGGGGTCTACCCGTTTCGTCACCGCGTTCATTCTCATCAACATATACACGAAAAGAACTGTTGCTTGGGATAGAAAATAAAGAAAAACACTTAAGACAATTTGTTAAAGACGAAAACAAAAAATAAAAACACTGTTAATAGGCCTACAATCATTTCACTTAAACAATAATCACTATATGCACGAAAATAACTGTTGCTTGGAATAGAAAATAATAATAAACACCAAAACAATATGTGAATGACTGAAATTGAAAAAAATAATAAAAGCATTGTTAATACGCCTGCAATCAACTCACTTAAACAATATGTTTGACTAAAATTTACTCATGCAAGCTTGGCAAAAGACTGACAATTTTTTAGGAAATTAGAAGTAGTATATTTCAGTGGCGGCTCGTGAAAAATAAAATGGAGGGACTGCAAGCCTCACACAACAGTAGGCTACACAAATTTGACCTACCTCAGGTATGAGTTGTAGTTGATGTCCACTAATTCCCAGGGCATGGTAGTAGTGTTGGTGGTGATGGACCAGTATTAATTGAAAATAAAGTCGGCGTGTCTGCTCTTCGATGTAGCAAAATTGTTTATTACTATTTCATTAAAATCCTTTATTTCTGTTGTCATTTTATTTTCAATGGATATCACTGCTAAAGCAGACAGTCTGTCATTCACCATGGTACTGCGCAAAAAAGTTATAATTCTCTTCAAAGTTGAAAAGCACCTTTCAGCTTCTGCCGTCCACAGGCAATGTAAACACGTCGTACGAGACTGAGCTGCTTCAAGTGCGGCGGCGGCGCCAATTAATAACAGACATGAATCGTACAGCATTGACAGCAACTATAAAAGTAACTTAAATTTTGGTCTGATTTTAATGAAAATTCACTTAGCAACGTATTGAAAATAATTAAATAACATATAAAATGATATATTTGTTGGTAGTGTATTATTCAGCTGTCTCTCTAAAGGAATCATACGCCTGGCAGTGAGTGTCTGGGGGGACTGCAGCTCTGCAGCCCTATGCACGAGCCGCCACTGGTATATTTTGTCATGATTTGCTTTTCTTGTGCACTATTTTAGCTTGTGCTCAGTAACTAGTTGTAAATGTAAAAAAACCATTGAGGCTTCTCTGTGAATAAGAGGGTAAAGCGAGATTGTTCTTTGCTGTTCAGTGGTTTATGCTGTAGTGGACTCCATCCCCTACAAGGGATGACTGAGCTCCCACGCGCCTACCAGCCAATCAGCGTACAGCCAGCGGTGCCAGTAGACCTACTCTCCAGTGCGGACGCCCACGTAGCAACGCTAGGACCGGAGTGCTGAGTGTGCCTGGCCTCCTCCTCTGTGATTGGCCCTCCCGCTACGCTCACCCCAAATCCTGATCCTCGTAAATTGTATAAATACGGCCATGGCTGGCCAGGGATATATACCACATTCACCACCTACTCCGGGTCGTCACACGATACCCACCACCCAGATAGCTTAGAAAGCATCCTCTCCCAGCAAGTGCGGACCCCAGTTCGGGGGCCGCGCCACTCCGAAACTGACCACGTCCAAGAGTGGGGGTTGGTGGTAAGCGTCCACTGATCGGGGGTCCGCTCACACTTGCAACCTGCAGTATCCTTCCAATCTGCAGGTGGGACCACCTCTAATCCCAATCCGGTCTGGCTGCTCCTGGAGCTCCAGCCGGAACCACCAAACGGGCCGCCTATAGGCAAAGGCCCGTGTCGGACTACGGCCCGACAATCTCAACAACAAGCCAGGGATATCCACCGATACCACTCAACACGATCAGCAAATCCAGTCAACTTAAACTTCAAGCAGTACAAAACAAAGCTATCCGTAGAGCATCAAAGCAACTTCCGCCATACACCACCAAAATACAAGAACTTCACGAATTATTCAATATCGAACCACTGAACATACGTACACACAGCCAAGCACAGAGAGTATGGACCAAACTTGAAGAGATGGAGGACCCATTATTCTCCAAGTTAAAAGAAGAAGGAACAACTAAAACACACAGCTGGTGGCCTAAGAGCTTCCATGCTGACATTGCAGAACAAGAACCACTCTACACAAAGAGGTAAACAAATAACACTACCACCGGACAAATAAAAATTAACACCCATTACAATAATGAATATCTAGCTAGCTTAACTCCTCCCCCCTCCCTCCTCAACCTCCCTCCCTGAGCGGACGGGCCTGTGCTGCGCGCGGCCACCACCCAATCATATCAACTCGTCTCCGCTAGGTGGACAGCCCACCTGCTATCTACCCCTCCCACTCTTCTTCCCGTTTCCACGCTTTACTTCTCTCTCTCTCTCCTCTCCTTTCCCAGTGCAAAGTCATTTGCCACTTTACTTCATTATCATCATCGGGAGACCAGTCTAGTCTGACCTACAGGACCAACAAGATCTCTCCCCAGTACCTCACCACCCAGCTTCCTCAGAGAGCTCCTCGCCCTACAGGAACTCTGAGCAAGCTACTCCTCACCTAGTAACTCCTTAGCACTGCTCTGTACAACAATATATATATATACAGAAAACGCATCGTGAGTTTCTATTCTACCTCATTCCTGAGTGTGAGATATCTACATGTACGGACGTTTGTGTGGCCATACAAAGAGAAAATAGACATCTTAAGAGAATTGACTACTGGCCACACCACAGTAGGCTACAATGCGCTGGTGCTAAATCATCTTCATTTGTTTTGTAATTTGTTTATTTACAAATGTTTTAATCGGTTTCTTTATTAAATAATTAATATTCACGTATTATAATAATAACAATAATTCTCGAGTCATCTGTATACATATGTAATTTATATTCCTGTAAAATGGTAACTTACAATTTTTCACTCCAATACCAACGACTGACGAAACGGATTTGATATTGGTGACGAAATGGGTTAGGGGCGACGGCCAGCAACCAAACCCAGTGAAGTAAAGAGACGTCATGGAAAACTTACAATAATTCTAAGTAAGTTCTAATTCGTTTAGTTATTTTTTAACTGATAAACAATATGAAGTAATCCTGTAGAAAAAAACGGTATTATTAGTTTCGGTAATCTTGGGAATTTACATTGTTCTGTGGCTAGGATAGGTTCAGTTTGGATCTCTAAATACAGGGATGATGGAAGCCATAACTTGACCATAAATTCACCCACATTTATGGTAATTACTTTGTTTAGGAATTGTAAACTATTATGAGACCTGTGGTGACAACTGGACCTGGGGGGTGGGGTATTATTTCACTTATTGCCACTAAAAGAATCTTGGGAATTTTATAGTTGCAATCTGTAATTTTAAAAATACTAAGACACTTTTCTTCAATGGCATTTCTGACGCAAATTACATTTAAGTAAAATATTTAAAATTTTATTATGTATGTTTGTATGTGGCGGTACAGTACACACCCAAATGACTGTCAAGCCCCACAGGTTAGGTTAGATTCCAAATGTTTTTCGGATGGTTTTTGATGTGTTTTGAGCACTTTTGACCTTGATTTTTGTAACAAATCTCTAGATTCTGAGATATGAGGGGCAAGGGTTATCTCTGAAACTAGTGATTTAGCTAAATATTAGTCCATTGGCTGTCCTCAGGTTTTGATACAAAAATGGGTTTGGTAATTGTTGACGACTGACCTGCAGCTTACTTAGTGTTGTTTAGTATACATGTACTGTATACCTACATTGTGTATAGTATTTTCATGCTGAACTGTACAGTACAGTATACTGTACCTGTATAGTTTATACAGTACAGTAGTATACATAGCTATCCAATTTAAACCTGTATGACAGTTTTACTGAATAATAATAATAATTATTATTATGATTATTATTATTATTATTATTATTATTATTATTATTATTATTATTATTTTTATTTTTTTCTTACCTTTGAACCCATACCCCTACCTGATCTTAATTCCATTTCTATATACAGTACTGTATCAGTACAGTAGTTGTATACTGTCTGTAAGTTTTTACCTGCATCTTCTTGTTTACAGATAAAGAAGAAAAATGAAGTATTATTGGAAGTTGGGGAAGCACCTTCAGAACGTGTTACGACATTACAGTAATACCCAGTATAAACCGCATCTTCACAGGTAAGCAAGTAAAGTGACTTATCATTGATGATTTTTAATGTACCATAGAACCTCTATAACAGACTTCAATAAACCAGAATTCACTGGGTTTTTTTACTCTGTTTAGTGCTATGGGCCGCCCCTTTGTTCACCAGGGGCGGTACCAGTTTACTGCACCTTGCTACTGTAAGGAGGGAACTTTTTAATGTTTGGTTTTGTAACTTTATCTTATTTCTTCAACCTCTTTTTATATCTCATTTATTTTCTTTGTTTTCTAATTAATTTTCTCGAAATACTTATTATGTTTCTTTCAGTGTCTCTTACTTATATGTTTATATCCTCTTATTTACTTTTATTCTCAGATTTATTTAGTTGTATTATGTTTTGTGGATTAACCTGGGAGAACCACATTCGTGTTTATTATTACACACTTTGTAATTACTGTACAGTACTTACATCTCAGAGTTGCCACCACCCAGGCAGTGGCGAAGGCAGCTGCTTCTTGCCCTTTGACACATTATTCCCCTCTATCTGCTTCTGATATGAAGTTAGTAATAAGAGCTGCCATCTGCTTGAGTTGGCAACACAGGTGGGATGCTGTCGGAACAAACAAGCTCCGCAACATTCACCCTGCTTTGAGTGCCTGGGGATATCAGGGACTGTCGTGTTACTGGGAGACTGCTTTGGTCCGCCTCCGGATTGGCCACACACGGCTGATTCATGATTTCTTAATGGAGAGGGCGCCCTCTCCTCATTGTGATGACTGCCTGATCCCATTGACTGTTCGACACCTCCTGGTGGAGTCCCCCAGTCTCAGAAATTATCATTGTAAGCACCTATCCCCAACACTTACAACTCGCTTGGTGATCGCTGGTACACACAGAAAATTTGCAGTCAAAGCCTTCAGGGATGAGAAGAACCTTCAGTGACAATGACTAGGGTGACGTCTGATATTCACGCCATATTCATCACGGATGAGAGCCACGGACACACCAGACTCTGACTTCTTTTATTAACTCAATTTTTTGTCCGAATCTTCCGAAGTTCATATTTACCGGGTCCGGATCTTCGAGGGTTTATTGTAATCTGTTAGCCAGTTTTTGTAATGCCTCTTCACTGTCTATGGTAAGAGCAATCCACATCACTGTATACCTTAAAGATGCAGTTCTGCAGGGTGAGAAATCTACTAATGTAGTAGAGGTTCCGGAATACTCAGAGATACAACTTAAGACACCCAGAGCTACTAAGACCACCTCCCCATGTACTCCTATCAGTCCCAGACCTCCATAAAATATCATGGTGTAAAGGTGTGGAACAAGTTACCCCCACCCATCCCAGCAAAAACTACTCTCCCTTCCTTTAAATGATATCTTTAAAAAATATCTATTGTTTATGTATTAATATTTTTGTAATACCTAGTTTATATTCCTGCTTATATTGTACCACCAAAACCATTATGTCATAGATTGTCATGTAGATAAAAATTACCATTGCAATAATTATATTTGCCAACTAGACATGTACTGACAGCCCTGTCCTCTTATTCTAACCCATGTTGTACTGCTTCCCTCCCTTATCGTGTTTATGTATATCAATACCACTGTGAAATATGTAATTAACTGTACTTATAATATAAATGTAAAAAAAAAAGAAGAGATAAATAAGATACTACTGTAAATAAATATCGAAGTGATAACCTTGGTAACATTCTGATATGTTCTTACTGCCACAATGTTATGTGTACTATTCCAGATGATAGTAAATGCTACATAATACAGTACTTCCTTGAGATAAATGTACAGTATATATCAGGTGCCTTCTAGAGAGCTCAGGTTCTCAACTGGCTCATCCATGTTAAGATTGTTATTATTATTCACTCCGTATCTGTGTTTTTCTGGGTAAATAAATTGTCTCAATATCAAAGGTTCAGCACTTGATTTATGTGTACTTGCCACTAACCTATTGTATTTTGTTGTAGTTGGGGGAGTTGCCACTGGTTCTTATGTCTTCAGCCAAAAATACAACTTAATATTTCAATGTTCCATTTTTCAGTGATGGCTGGGAGGCAGTGATTGGTCTGGAGATTCATGCTCATATCTCATCAGCTAGTAAATTATTCTCTCCTGTTGGCACCAAGTATGGGGCACCTCCGAACTCTCAAGTTGGTATATTTGAATCAGCTCACCCAGGAACCCTACCAGTAAGTTCATCAAAGACAAATCTCTATTGTTTATAAATGATGTTTTGGTTTACATTAAAATCCCCAATTTACATATTGCAGTGGAGTTGGAATAATTCACGTGTCAGGTACCAGAAGACATTGTGAATTATTGTTTAATGGGCGGATCAGGAATATCAAAAGGGGAGGGAGTCCAAGACGTTATGGGTGGGGTAGCAAAGTGAACCCACCAATTATCATGGGCATTTTTAGGTTATTTTCAAACCATGTGCACTTAATATTAGGCGATATTCTGAGGTCAAGAGTAATTACTTTTTACTATAAAAAAATGCCTGAGTACAGTACTGCATTAAACAAAAAGTATTGGAATTTTCTGATGAAAAAGTGGGTCTGGACCCCTTGGATCTGCCCCTGCTTAATTGATTTAAATGGAAGTACAAGTGATATTCCCATTAGCCAAAACAATTGGTACATAGCACTTCTGGGAATGAGAGATTTTGGGGTAAAATGATGACTCTCTCATACCCGGAAAAAATCCCCCACCCCCGGAATTTTTCCGGGTATTGGGAAAAGGTTCTCAGAATTATACAGAAATTGTGCATTAGTACAGGTATTTCTTCCTCGGAATTTGCTCCCTGACCCAGAAAAACATTGGCGAGTTTCCGGTTTTTCCAGAATTACACATTATTTTATCTTCAGAACTTTCTCCCAGACCTGGAAAAAAATTGGGGAGAGTTTCTGGAATTTTTCTTGAAATTTTCCAGAAAATGTGTTTGATTCTCAACCTCAGGAAATCTTTCCCAAACTCGGAATTGAGGGTAGTTTTCTGGAAAAAATTGAGCAAATTTCGTTTCCAGCTATTGGAAAGCTGCTAAGAGAGATTTTGGCTAATGGAGATACGTACACTATTACTATTAGTTTGGTTCCAGAGGCCAAGAAGTTCCCGTAAACTGTTTTAAAACTGCTCTTATAGACACTAAGCATTGTACAGTTACTTCAAAGAGTTTCTTTACCCCCTCTGATGATGTTTACAGTTATGTGGTAGTGTCACAGTACAGTACTAGAGTAAACTTATGGGATGAATCTGTAGTAGTCTTGTAACAGTGGGGTCTTGTTGAAGTTCTGTAAGTATTTTTCTTTTGCTTCCATGTCATATAGTATGAGGAATAGATGGTTCTGTACAGGTACCAATAAATGTTGTATGTCCATTCTGTCTGGGAATTTTGTATTGGCCTTTGTATAAGAACGATGCTGTGACTCATGTGAATTTTCCTTTTAGATGCATTTCTTCATTTTAATATACATTCGTTTTTTAATAGGTCCTGAACAAAAAGTGTGTGGAAGCAGGCATAAAGACAGCTTTGGCTTTTGGAGCTACAATCAACAAAATGTCAATATTTGATCGAAAGCACTATTTTTACCCAGATCTCCCGGTAAGTCATTAATTCTTTAAGGGAGTTTACTTGGGTTAGTCTCAGATGTGTACTGTATATAAGACGTACGGTCATATAAGACACACACCCCATTTTAAGGCAGGAGTATTTAGGAAAAACTTTTGTGTGTATTTTCCTCCTGTAGCCATAGTTATCTTAAAATAATATATACAGTACCAGTAAATGAGGACTAAATAAAAATAATCCCAATAAATAAAAGCCAAATGAAATTTAACACAATCACCATAGCAATGCAGAGCAGCAGGGACACTACCTCTGCTGACTCCCTAACAACGCAGTAAGGAATAGCGCACTGGTGATACGTATGGAAGTGGGACTCAGACTGAGGCATGTGCCACATCTGCGTGACACCCACGCACGTATGAACGCGCAAACCGTCCAGACTGATTCACGATTTTCTGGACTTTTTAAAAAAAATCTGATACATAAAGGGATGGTCTGGAGCACTTCTGGAGAGTCTGAAAAAATGATGTTGTGAGCTCCACACAATAGATATATACTGGTCACAACACCAACAATATGCAAAGGCTGAAAAATGAACTGTAAGATAATATTGTATAGGTTTTGGTTTTATGGGGAAATCTGTACTTTGGCACATATTATGAATTATTTTTGTGTAAGAATTAATAATTGATTATTTTTCATTGACAGGCTGGTTATCAGATCACACAATTGGATTACCCTCTAGCAAACAATGGCAGGTTAGAATTCATCGTCTACAACTCTTCGGTCCATAAGCATCCGTACCGCCATTCAGTTGAGCTAATGCAAATTCAACTAGAGGAGGACAGTGGCAAGAGTATACATGATGATTGTAATAACAGGTATGAGATTTGTTTTGTCGAAAGTTCTGATTTTTATAGATTTATAGATTATTAAAAAAAAAAGAAATAAATTTTTCTCTATGATAATTTTAGGGTACTTGTGGACCTTAACCGTGCAGGCCAGCCACTGATGGAGCTTGTATTTGCCCCTGAGTTACATAATGGTGAGGAGGCTGCTGCCATGGTGAAAGAAGTTGCCCTCATCCTTACAAGAATAGGTACCTGCAACTGTCACATGTATGGTAGGTTACATACTGCTGTCCTTTAAACATTTTGTATTTATTTATTTATTTTTAATTGTTTTTACCACTTATCAGTTTATTAGCCTTTTGGACGGTTGGTCTATTCAGTGTGAGTACAGGAGGAAACCTGAGATGATTGATAGTATCACATTGGATAACACCTGCTCATGTGTGTCTGGGCTTGAACCCTTGACAAGAGATACGCACGTTACTGCTGTACCAATTATTACATAATATTTTAACCAAACCATATTCAATAGTGTTGGTGACTATGAAGTGATATTTACTGTGTGGGAGTTTATTTCATAACTTCAAAAATTTTTAAATACCCTGTATAAGTCATAAATCAGGGTCTGCCTGTGCTGGTGCCTGTACTGTTTCCATATCTTAATACTCTTGTACAAGTGAATGGCAGGTAATAATTTGATTGTTGCTGAAGAATTTTTTAGTTGAAGGTGTCACATAGAATGGCACATAGAATATATAGAGAAATTTTTGTTGTTTTCCTCTGAGTGAAGAAGAGATCTATGTACTGGTGTGCAGTGAGGTACAGTGGATTATCTTTTCACCAGAGGGATCTCTTCGTGTGGATGCCAACGTGTCAGTTCACAGACCTGACGAGCCACTGGGCACCAGAACAGAAGTGAAGAATCTTAATTCTCTTCGATCTTTGGTAAGTCAATTTATTGAATCATAGTTGAAATAAGATCATTGGTGAAACGACAAGTTTAATGCATGATATTTCTACAATTTGACTCTGTGTGTGTGTGTGTGTGTGTTGTAATATATAATTATAGCATTGACCATCAAAAGCTCTCATTCACTTACACTGAGGTATTATTCAAATGTTCTTAACATCTTTTCAATATTTCTTTCCACTACTGCTGGGTTCAGAACTTCTTTTTTTCATTCTTACTGCTGGAATAGATACAGTATATCCCAATTAGCCATCAAGGTCTCAAAGCATCATTCTGGTGTGTCCCTGTCACTACATACTACCTAGCATCACCCATCAGTATTATACCCTTCCCCATAAACTCCACATCACCAAGTTCTTTCATTATTCACATACTGGTTCTTGAATGTGCATCCTTGCTACTTTTATTTCAACTGTACAGTTCTCCCCAGTCCCCATTCTTCCATTTCCTTCATTGTTTCATTCTACCAACCAAAAGGAGACACTCTGGAGTACTATCTCTTTACCTTGGGTATGTGGGTTTGCATTTTAGTTCTAGGTAAGCCTTGCCAGAGAGCACTTGGAAGTCTTACATGTTAGTTGGTGATACGAAGGGCATCCAGCCATAAAACTTGCTTCAAATTTGCCTGATGGTGACTGGGACATCATGCCACTAGGTAATCAAGACTAACCCTTGCAAATATGGTAAGTGGCCTAAAATGGTGCTGATGTTGATGGAGCGAACCTCATTATCTAGGTTATCCTTGGGTAACAGCCGGTTCATATCAAGTGGAGGAGGGGGATGCTCAGGTTAACACGGGTACTGCTGCTGTTGATATCAGGAGTGGAGTGTGCGTGCTGGCAGGGGTACTGGAGATGCTACCACCACTGATGGTTTGAGAAGAGGCTCCAGATAATTACATTAAGGTTGATGGTTTTGTTGTATGCTGTTTCTCAGTAAATAGTTTGATGCATTACAATGTCGCGATTAATTTGACATTTCTATTTCCAGGTGAAGGCAGTTGATTTTGAGATTGAAAGACAGTTGAATATATTGGAATGTGGCGGAAGTGTGACCTGTGAAACTCGCAGCTTTGATACTTTGTCCCAAAAAACGGTCAGCATGAGAGATAAAGACGTCATTCAGGTACGGTCATGAAAAAATAATATGTCGAACAAACATTTTTTATAGAGTAAATAATGTTAAGTGATGTAAGATGATTTAAATGATGACTTATTCCCTACTAAAGATAACACAGAAGCTAAAAGCGCTGCCCCCTCGCCTTACATGGGTTCATTCAACACGAATTCGCTTGAACGTGATTTGTTTTATTGCTACACAGGGTTAAGATTCACTTGAACAAGCGTTGAGCCGGGCGAACACAGGAAAATTCGGCCAAGTGCTGTCAGTTAGAAAGACAACTATCTGTGCATTCTTTGTGGGGAAACAATATGAGACCATGGATGATAAATATTGGTATATGATGACTGTCACGAGTCACACATAAAATTTTGTAGCATATCGACCTCTACCTGCACAGATAGCTGTATTAGCTACTGTACCTACGGTGTACAGTATACATTACAAATAATTATCGGTACTGGGCATGCTCACTAGGAACTGTCCAGTACTACAGGGATTGTTTATATCCTGTGCACCAGATCAGCTGACATGTCAGTGGTATTGTCACAACCACAACTAACCATCACTATAGCTATTTATATGTGTGTTTTGCACACTCCTGGGACTGGCATGAAAAACTCACGGATTTTGCTTTCTCATGGGGTCCATTTTACCTAACCCCAACGAGCTTTAAGGGAATACTGTACAAGTAGGAAGACCTTTTATATCATATAATATTTAAGGTTTAAGGAAATGCAGTTTAGAACCTTGGTAGAATGAGCTTCAGTTCAGTATATTAAGAAGTAGACAGGGTGTAGTTTTCAAACATGCTTTAAAACTCATAACCTGGATGCACAAATTTACCAGTATAGTATGGTACTGTATTCTAGTCCATTATGAATCTTAAAGTTCTGTAATTGTACTATCAATGACATAAGAATTTTATCCGATTTTATTATCTTTTTCAGGATTACCGGTTCATGCCTGAGCCAAATTTGCTTCCATTACGTCTGCACGATTCTTTGGAGCCTAACTGCCTGTATGATGGCGCACTTGATATTAATGAACTTCGTGTAGTAATGCCAGAATTACCCGAAGCTACAAGACAAAGACTAATGAAAGATTATGGAATTACTTTGGAGAATGCCATATTGTTTGTAGTAAGTAATATCTGTAGAAGTTTAGATAATATATAGTGTTTTAAACACTAATAAGAAAGAGGAGATTGAAATGTGGAATCCCATTCAGTGACAAGGGAAGAAGCACCTTCAAGACTAGTGCCTCTTAACACCTTCTGTTTCCTCATCAGGGACTATATAAAGTTTAATGACAGGTTACTCTATCCAGACGAGTAAGATTAGATAATGAGAAAGTTCTTGCAAGGAACTCTTCTCATTTCCTTGAGTGCCTGGGTAAGCCATGACTACCTGATGGCACCTGTCCATGCCACAGGATCTCTTGTAACCTCTCACCAGGTTGTTATCAGAAATCATTCTTGGCCTGTCTAATAGACAGTGTCTATAGCTCTCCTCTCCTCCACACTCAAACTTATGTACTTCTTGACCCAGTTGGTTTCCCCCATTCTCTCCATATGCCCAAACCATCTTAGTCTCCCTCTACACAAAACCTCACCAATACTCTATACTCAGCTGGCCTATTAACTCCTGGGTTCATCGGGCTATAGTCAGCAACCCACCCACCCCCACGCGGGCATATACAGGAACATTTAAGAAACAAATAAAAAGCACTTCTAGTCTTACAAATCAGTCATGTATGATATAAACAGGAAAGAAATATACAGTATGTCCCATTACCACAGGTTGGCAACACAAGGGCTAGGAAGAGTCGAGAATGTTTCGTAAAGTGACGTCTGTATGACTCAGTAGTACGAGGTAAACAAGACTAATTTGTAGGCAGTCTGAGGTACAGGACACATCATTCATCACCCCTTCCACTCTCTCTTGCTCTCACACGTTCAGCCACTCCAGACTTCACATTACCGAGGTATTTATCTGTTCTCCGTAGGTTTCTTCTTTCCTCATTAAATGTTTCACTTAGAACCAAGACATGCAGGTTTCATTGATTCATCACAGCTGCAGTCATTCTTTTCATCTCTTCCTCATTACCATCATGCATGTGTGTCATATTTGCCTTCTTCTCTTTAAGATAAAAGAATTGATTATCATTTCTGTTTCTAAAACTGTATTCAATAATTATAAAATTCTAATATTTTGCAGAATAATGATGACCTGTTGAATTACTTCATAGCAGTGATGTCCTGCAGTGAACACAACTCCCATATTGTCTGCAATCTTATGCTTAATAACCTCTTGGGGACTCTCAATAACATCAATGTGGATATTAAGGACAGGTAATGTGTGTGATATTCTTTTCCCTTACATGGGTCACCTGTGGTAGGGACCGAGTGACCAGCCAATTTCCCTTAAAATTAATATAATTATCAGAGTCGAGTTCAGGAACTGCCTCGTAAAACCTCAGTTATATTAAAATTTCACCTACAATAAAGGTGTGCATACAACTGTTGTTGCTTTACTTACTGTTAGTTGGTGTGGGTGATGACTGGTTACATTGGGGAGGATGGAGGTAACTTTTCACACTGAGGAGCTTTAATTTTAAATCACCAGGTAAAATCAAGGTGAAAACATCAAACTTATCCCTTCCCATTTTTAGGCTTTTCATGGGGTAAGAAAGCATTTACTGTATCTTCTATAGAAAAATTTATGTACCCAGCAGGTGTGTTGACATTGGTGGACTGTGACATCAGGAACATTTTTTTGGGGGGGTATACCAGAACACTGTACATTGTTGTTTGTGTTTAGTAAGTAAAAAACCTTTGAAAGATCCACTTTCAAATCTGTGTCAGTTTACTATCCATGATGGTTGAAGTTCCTAAATAATGTAATTTTGAACACCTTTAGATGTAAAACATTTGTTCAATATCATGGAATTATGTAGATTTGTTTCTTAGTTTGTTCCATTTAATAGTCGTGTGTGACCATCTCAGATTGATATTAAAAGCAATATTGTATTAGCTTCTTGTTCTCAATGAGGATCATCTTTTTTATGTAGACTAATCCTGCTGAAGTGTTCATCCATTACGTTAAGGCAGTAAATCGATGTAATACTTTTTGCTTGATAAGTCACTGCCATATCATCATCTTGAGCAGCAGCATTTTTCAGCCATTTTCCATGATTGTGTGGGTTAGCCGTGGTTACCTGATGGTAGCTCTCCATGCTGCAGGGTCTCTTGCAGTCTCTCTCATCAGGTTCTCTGAACTTGTATTGACATAAATTGTAACATAATCTAGGTTCTAATATTGATATGTTTACCTCCTCAACAGCCCTCTGACAGCATCAGCCTTCAGTGAGATTGTGGACCTACAGCAGAGTGGTAAAATTGTACCTAACATAACACAGCAGGTGATTAATGCCATATGTATTGGCAGAGATCTACGGACTCCTACCCAGGTAATAATTTTATGCTGTTGATTGTGAATTTGTGAGTTCATCAGTTCTCATTAATATGTGACATTATGTGTCATTTTTGGAAGGTTAAGTTGGTTACCCTAAGTGGACGTGTACAAGTACAATATTCCCGCACAAAATGGGATCCGACTGTACAGTACTTCATAGAGTAAATTTAATCATTATTCTGTGTAAGGCACTACAAAAGGTTGCAATTTGTTTAGATCAAGTGTTTTTCTTACCATATTTTCTTATTTACTTTCTTTCCTTACTTACACTCCACAATTCACTTACAGATTGTATATGAAAATAACTGGCTGCAGCTGTCTCACGATGACCTGGAAGACTTAGTTGAGAGCATTTTAAGTGCTAATGAACAACTGGTGAGTTTCAGTTAGTTATACTCTCTCTCTCTCTCTCTGTCGATGGTGAAGGATTATTTAACTCCTTCAAGATATGAATAATCATAAACTTACTGGGATCTTTTCAAGTTCATGATAATATGGCTTATGTGAATTTTTTTCACATGTATTCTTCTGCTATTTTTCAGGTTGAAACGTATAAAACCAGTAAGAAGAAGAAGAAGCTGCTGAAAGCTTTAATGGGCAAGGTGAAGGAAGCAACAGATAGCAGAGCAAATATGAAAGTAGTCAATGATATTCTTTTGCAGAAACTAAGGTCCTAGTACTAATTGTTATATTACACCAGACTATCAGTTAGCTGTATTTAAAGAAAGAATTAAATGGTATGTAAATGCTTCGTAATTATTTTTGTGTTTAATGGAATTCAGTTCATTGAAAAATTTAAATCAGTTTTAGTCATATTTAGTGGCATAGTGAGAGTGTCTGGCACCTACCCAGAAATAACAATAATTCCCAGTGAGTGAGGTGTTTAAGTGCCAGCACCAGTCTGCTTTAATGAATTAAAGATTATTAAAGGTAACTTTTCATGAGAAAGAGTTCAAGATAATAAAAAATGGGTTCAATATCCCCAAAATATGACAACACAAAGATGAAGCATTTCAGTGTTGTAAAACGTCCACATTTAATGAACAAAACAGTAAGTTAACCTCTATGTATATGTGAAGATGCATCCGTAAATGGTTTATGTGAATGCAAGATCAAACACATGTGAATACTGAATACATTAAGTAAACAAATTAGATTATGTCCTGTGTGTATTGATTGCAACAATATTTATCCTCTATAAGGGAGTGTGTGAAAAGTTGCCTTGAGTGGAGTAACCTGTCAATAACCTTGAATAGTTTGACCATACTTCCACCCACACTACCCTCCCTGGACCACCCACACTACCCTCCCTGGACCACCCACACTACCCTCCCTGGACCACCCACACGGCCCTCCCTGGACCACCCACACGGCCCTCCCTGGACCACCCACACGGCCCTCCCTGGACCACCCACACGGCCCTCCCTGGACCACCCACACTACCCTCCCCACAACCACCCACACACACTACCCTCCCCTGGACCACCCACACTACCCTCCCCACAACCACCCACACCACCTCCCCAAAACCACCCACACTACCCTCCCACAACCACCCACACCACCCTCCCCACAACCACCCACACCACCCCCCACAACCACCCACACTACCCTCCCACAACCACCCACACCCCTCCCCACAACCCCCCACACTACCCTCCCCACAACCACCCACACTACCCTCCCACAACCACCCACACACTCACCCTCCCACAACCACACCCACACTACCCTCCCACAACCACCCACACTACCCTCCCACAACCACCCACACCACCCTCCCACAACCACCCACGCGACCCTCCCCACAACCACCCACACACCACCCCTCCTGACCATCCACACTCACCTCCCTGGACCACCCACACTACCCTCCCCTGGACCACCCACACTACCCTCCCTGGACCATCCACACGACCCTCCCTGGACCACCCACACTACCTCCCCACAACCACCCACACGACCCTCCCTGGACCACCCACTCTACCCTCCCCTGGACCACCCACACTACCCTCCCCACAACCACCCACACGACCCTCCCCACAACCACCCACACTCACCCTCCCTGGACCACCCACACTACCCTCCCTGGACCACCCACACTACCTCCCTGACCACCCACACTACCCTCCCCACAACCACCCACACCACCCTCCCCCACAACCACCCACACGACCCTCCCCACAACCACCCACACGACCCTCCCCACAACCACCCACACGACCCTCCCCACAACCACCCACACGACCCTCCCCACAACCACCCACACTACCTCCCTGGACCACCCACACTACCCTCCCCACAACCACCCACACACTACCTCCCCCACAACCACCCACACTCCCTCCCCACACACCCACACACTCCTCCCTGACCACCCACACTACCCTCCCCACAACCCTGACCATCCTCCAGTGGTTCAGACCAAGAAGGCAGCGCTGCATCAGTGGCAAATGCAACATAACAAATTTAGAAGTTGAAAGAGGGAATGAAGATTGGCTAATGTAAAAATCGTCTCAATATAAGGCATTTGAGGAAGGAATATTGTCTTTAGGCCCGAGACTTACGACATATATTGGATAAGGCATAACTAATAGAGAATGGATGCTTTAGAAAAAAATTATATTTGTTTAACGGTAACTATAATATTTCACGCTGCTCTGACTTTCTTTACCGTCGATAATCATTTAATTACTTATTTTGTATATTTATCATTTTACCACTTATCAGATTATTGACCGTTCGGACAATTTGTCTGTTCTTTGTTAGTTTTGTTATGACCTTTATTGTTCAGTGTTAGTACTGGGGAGACTGCAGTACAGGACTCGAACTCGTGGCATAGCAGTGAGAGATACATACATTACCAGTGTGCCACCAACACCCTTCAAATTAGTTAAGGATTATACAATACATTATACATTTCACTATTTTTATCGTTGTTTATGGGCGGATCCAATTAAGTTAACCATTTGATCGATAAATATATAACCAAGACCAAACCCAGTGCCTACAGGAATAGTTAAGAAAACTCAGAATTTTGAGACGTGGGTTAGGTCAAATGATGAGCAGGAGTAGAGGATGTAAGTCAGATCCAGGAACCAAGCAAAGCCAGAGGGTAAATGAGCTGAAAAAAAGAGTTTCAGATGCAGATTGTAAGCGAGGTCAAGTCAAACCCAAAGGCTTTTTACCGCTACACAAAGTCGAAATAAAAACGCGAATCGGACAGTACAGTATATATATAATAGAGGTACTGTCCGTTGTATAATGAATATTTTTTTTATGAATGCTGACTAACAAAACTAACATAAATTTAAATGAATCATGGTATAAAAAAAAGATACTATGGTCGCGTTCGGGCCTTGAGGAGTTTGTTTACACGTTTAACATTATTGGAACAGCAGCCAGTGACAGTCAACAGTGGACAGGTGTAGTGGATGATGTCACCTCGGGAGGTTAACCCATGTTTTGCGGATACGTTGGGCTGTGAAGCCCATGTTACTTGATGGATTACATAATACGAAAGGAATGAAGAACAGGGCAACTAGGAGACCAGGGAGAGGAGAATGAGCACAGAGGTAAGTGAAAAAGAAAAGTGGCGCACGGGCAGTGATGGAGGTAAGTACCTGTGGTGGCTCTTTAGTCCCACACGGAAGCTTCACCTCGCTCACCATTTACACATCTTTACATTCAGTCGTTAATTTAAGTTGTGAAACTTGATCCGTGTTTTAATAAATTCATAAACAGAATTTTTAACGTGTGTCTTATGTACTTGGGCCAAGAGAGTTTCACTTTTCAGTTTTACCTTTTGTGCAATATTTCCTTTAGTAACTTGTGTACTAGAAGGCAATACATCATCCATATGTGATTTATTGGGTAGAGTTTGGAGCATTATATAGTCGGGAATAACAAAATACTCTTGGATCGTTTCTTACCTCCTATCGGAATCACTTCTTCCCGACCTACATTGAATGTTATTTATTATATACTTAGGATGCCTATGAGTAATCTGGATGGTGTCTGGCTGTGTATCCAGATCTTCATCCACATACTAGAGAACAATCTATACTGGATGAGGCGGGTTAGTGGTGCTACAGTACTACATACTGTATACATGTACTTGGCTCTGTAATTTGTATTTGACGTGTAGCATCGCCTAGTGGTGGTCCAGTCGTTTCTCGGGTATTAACTTATTTAAGAAGGATCACCTCGGACAGGTAGGTTGTAGCAGTGTAAGATTTATCTCTGGTTATTAGGGTGTGATCTCACTCTCGGGCAAGCTTCGTTATGGTATGTATGTTAAATGAAAATGATTAAACTAAAGTATTTAAACCATCAAATCTGGAGCGAACACATAACAATGGTTTTAAACTAGACAAATTTAGGTTTAGGCGGGAAGTGAGTTAACATTGGTGTGTGGATAACTGGAACAGATTACCAAACACCATTATTAACTCAAACTCGTTGAGAAGCCTCTAGTATAGGTAATATAGGCTGGGTGTAAACAGGGCTGCCTGATATGAGCTAAGACGTCTGCCGCAGTTTCCTTCGTTCTTAAATTTTACGTTGGTAGTACAGCGGAGCGCACTTGCCTCTCACAGGTATGTCTTGGGTTCGAGCTCCTGGTCGGATGTGAGAAGGGGGACTTTACCAAACATTGCAGGTTTTCTCTTCCTATACTAACACTGGTCAGTGAAGATGGAAGAAAAAGAGACCAGGCCAGAACGACAGAACGGTTAGGAAGCTGAAAAGTGGTGGAAATTCATTGATTGATATACGATATTTATATCTACTGTAATTAGTACAATCGTCATGCAAGTTTACAGTTGGTCTGGCACGTATGCTGACAACTCGGGTATAGACCATGCAGGTATGCAATTTCTAATATACCTAGATACCTGTAGTACTGGTACACAAATATCATTAAACAGTAAGGCAACTTGACCAGGATAGCCAACAAAACCATCAGAATTTCCATTAGGGTCCTTTACTTCAGCTTGGTTGCTAGTCAGTAATAGTAAGTCAACGAGAGTAAAGGTAACTATTTGTTGATATCCCATTCATCTCATCATATATATATATATATATATATATATATATATATATATATATATATATATATATATATATATATATATATATATATATATATATATATATATAAGATAGCCTTGAAGTGTTTAGTAACATGCATTACTAGTTTTAAAGTGGTTTGGTAAATTGTTTCAATATATATACTACTGTATGTAGCTTTTATGAAAAAAATATATAAATAAAAATGTTCGTCTGCGGACACCAGGAACCTGTATTTATTTCCTCTGGTGCTCTACCTGTTTATATCCCTAATTCTTACGAAGTTTGTTGTAAGATCTCTGGGTACAGCATGTTAAAAGCCTGTAAGTGTGATTCAGCCTCATCCGTTTCACTCTATCCGCCGCTCTTTTAACATGTTCATTGATTATAGGATTTCGTGACCAATGTGATTTCTTGCGATCATGTCAAGAAAAACTTTACCATGTCTTTATACATAATCTAAGGTTTGGCTTTTAGATTTTGTGCTAAGGTAGAGCAGCAATAGTCCAAGTGACATTGTATGAGCGCTAAGCAAATGGTAGTTGGGGCATTAGCCGAGACACATTTGGCATTTATGGAAATATATTTTATCTTGGCATTACCTTTTTATTTATTATCTACAATTAATTCTCCAGATAAGCAAGTGCCAAAGTATTTTACTGAGATACATTCATAACCACAACAGCACATTAAATTCGCTTCTATTCTCTTTTGAGTTTTCTTTTGGATCCAAATAATATTGTTTCAGTCTTGTTAATATGTATAGATAACTTGTCTTCTTTCAGTCATTGTTTACAACACTCAGTTTTTTATATAACTTGTTTGCTTTATGTATCCTCTCTCTCTCTCTCTCTCTCTCTCTCTCTGTATATATATATATATATATATATATATATATATATATATATATATATATATATATATACACTGATATATAAACGTAAGATCAACCCCTCCAGGCACAGATCGCCGACCCACATCAGGGCCTGAGAAGACCGACCATGAATAAATGCAGAAATGGAAAAGATGAAAAGATAAACAATATACTCGTGTGTGTGTGTGTGTGTGTGTTTGTGTGCATGTATGTTGTG